AAATCAAAGAGGGAATTATTATAGGAGAAACTATGAAATGATACGACTGTTCTGCTAATATTGAAGTTTCTCTCAGGGTTGTCAGATGGAACAACCTACCAGCGGCCTGAGGTCGCAGGTGATCGTAGTGGACTGGTCAATAAAACGATCTACTTGAAAACTTCGAAAGAGAAGTTTCTACAAAGTCAACTGAGACACCGAGGTCTTGAAGAGAGCGAAGCTGCAGAGATTTCGGAACAACTTCCTCACCGAAAGCAATCTCCATGCATGTGGACGAAGTTTGTGCGGTATTCCCATCCAACAATCTTTTCTCAGCTTTTCCATATCAATATCAGCTGGGGGAGAGTTTCTCCCACTCGACTTTCCCGCAGAGAACAAACGACGAAGACGTTCAAACCGCGTCTGGTCGCGCTCGCCACCTGAACAATCTCAATATTATTTAGAAGGTATCATAGAACGACTTTGACAGCGGAGAAGGCCTTTCTCAAACAGTCTAAGGTTCAACCTGGTTGTGTTCCGTTCACTGCCGCGACGGTTATACGAACTTGATCACCAGAGATCTCTGGTAGCTTTGGATAGATGGGATTTGGATTCTGTACAGGAGGATTGCTAATTGTAGAAGGTAAAGGATCTGAAAAGTTGTAATCTTACTATCTAGGAATTACCCGAGCTGTTGGAATATGATGCTTCCGCTTCTTGTGAAGATTCAGCAATACGAACCTTTTTGAATAGCAAGTCGCTGAAGTGCTTGAACACGTCCATTCTTTGTTGGAGCCGGATTGACAGGAGGCATTATCACCTGAACAGGAGCAAACATTTGCCGTACTGAGAATGGCTACAAAAAGAAAACAAAGACCCACTCAATAATACTAATAGGCTAAAATAATAATGAATAATATCAATAACGTGAGAATTGTAGCGTTAGTGGTGCTACTTATGACGCGCACATTCTGATCGTTATCATGTCATGGGTCAAATCTCCTCCGGGGGAACTAAGCCTTCCGTCAGTCCGAAGTCGGTCAGTTGGTAGAAAGTTATCAGGGAGGAAGCTTTCATTCCACCGCAACAACGTGATGGCTTGGTGGACTCTTCAAAAAAGCGATTCCATTAGAGAGTTCCACCTAATAACCGCGCTGGCGTTATAAAATAAAAACTGTGGACTTCAATATAAGGAAGCCAAACTTTTAAAGGAGAAAGGAGAAATGCATACTGTGAGAAAGTGGATAACGCGACAACTTTTCCGGCAAGGTCCTGTTGCGAAACCATCTAACGCATACAATTAGAGGACAGCTGCTATCTAAGCATGAAAATGCGTAAAAGGACACGTGGCGAGCCAGGGGAGGGACTTTTCAGAAGGAAAGAATCCGGGGTGAGTGAGCCACTTATTATGCGTGAAATGTGGAATGCGCAGGGTCATAGCAGCTATAGAGACTTATGAAGACGAGGGTGTGCAGAGAAAAATAGAAAACTTAAGCGATGAAACGGATTAAATTCACGTTGTCAGCAGACCCCCAACCCCTGCCCGCACACCAAAAAAAGATTGTTCAACACCGAGTTCTTGAGCACACACACTTTTCACACTCAGTACTTTCCGCGACCTTGAATGAGTCTGCTTAGTGCCCTTGAGAGAGAGAAGAGAGAAGAGAGAGAGAGAGAGAGAAAGAGAGAGAGAAAGAGAAGTAAGAAAGAGAAGAAAGATCGTACAAGAAAGAAGAAGATTAGAAAGAAAGAAAGAAAGAAAGAAAGAAAGAAAGAAAGAAAGAAAGAAAGAAAGAAAGAAAGAAAGAAAGAAAGAAAGAAAGAAAGAAAGAAAGAAAGAAAGAAAGAAAAAAGAAAGAAAGAAAGAAAGAAAGAAAGAAAGAAAGAAAGAAAGAAAGAAAGAAAGAAAGAAAGAAAGAAAGAAAGAAAGAAAGAAAGAAAGAAAGAAAGAAAGAAAGAAGAAAGAAAGAAAGAGAAGAAAGAAAAAAAGAAAGAAGAAAGAAGAAAGAAGAAAGAAGAAAGAAGAAAGAAGAAAGAAAGAAAGAAAGAAAGAAAGAAAGAAAGAAAGAAAGAAAGAAAGAAAGAAAGAAAGAAAGAAAGAAAGAAAGAAAAAGAAGAAAGAAAGAAAGAAAGAGAAGAAAGTAGGAGAGAGTCTAAAGGCGCGCGGCTCCCGATGCCACCCAGCCTTCAGGGAGTCATTTCTCGAAAAAACTTTCGAAATTTAGTACTACAAGATGATATCATGATGCAAAATGAGGACATCAGCTTATGACACTCTCTATTGTCTTCATCCAGTTTTTGGTTTCACTTGGAACGCTGAGTAGGATTCGAAGATATGTCGATCTGCCAGTCGCGGCCAAATACTGTGCCAACCTCGCCCCTGTTGAGTTTAAATAAATTTCCCAGTCCCAACATAGGGTGAGATTTTACTGAGAGGAACTGGATTTTTTCCTCGATAGGACGGCCCAAAACTCGCAATGAGCGGGGAAAGGGAGAAGAAGAAACGAACATCGGATCAACTATACTAAAGTACGGCTGCCTCATTTCATATTTGCCTACCCGATGAGATGAAGAAGAACGGAAAGAACTGGGTAAAGTACCAATAAATTCGTGTTATAGCTCTTTCCAACATATGAAAAAAACAAGTTCCTCAACCATCTTTTCAAGATAGTGGATAATGCGATAGAGAAAACTGCTCACCTCTTCCCTGGTCTTTCCAGCAGCATGAGCTGCAAGCACGCGAGCAGCGGATGCTGAAGCAAGAGCATCATCGACCAGCACACGAGTATCCCATGCATCTGACACACTGCAACATAGAAGGGTGTAGAAATGAACGAATTTGAGGTCCCAAAACGTTTAAATATCTCAAAACAAGCACGTTCTCAATTCACCCGACGAACCTGTTCTCGTAATCTTGAAATTTTGATTGTTTGGCGAAATCCTTGCTAGGACTCCCGCAAGGTACATCGTGTTGTAGTGGAGGATAACGAGCACCGTACACCGGTTTCACGCTATAAGTCCAAATAGTGCGAAAATATGCACAAAGCGTGAAAAGTTTCTAAGCTTTCTGCCGTCCTTGCTATATTACTATGCCCATACATGGAAAGAACTTAGAAATGGAAGTTTTCACTAAGAACTTGGAAAATAACAGCTAATTGAACTATCACAAGGAGTATATCAGTAGTACAAGGAGTAGGAGAAGGAAATAGACCATAGCGGACGGAGACCACCAAGTAGAAAGTTTAGAATGCGAAATGAAAAGTATCTAGAGAAGACATCTATTTCTAGTTCACCAGAAATATTTTCAGACATACCTCCCAGGTGCAGAGCCAACCGACCATCGACTCATTGCCGAACGGCGTCAAACGGAACTTCTATAGAAAACAAATAGATTAGGAAGACGACGAAGCGAAACGGGATTTAGACTCCCATTCACAGCGCCACAAGTTCATTCGAAACTATTTCTCACATAAACAACCTAGTCTAACTGGTCCGCCTTGTGAAAAACAGCTCTTATTATGCACCGTTTGCAAACGTTTGAGAACGTTTTAATGTCAGGCTTCATTAAAACCCATTCATGAGAGGAGACGTTCAGTCTTTGATTGGGAAGTCGATATAGGAAATTATTAAATCAGAATTTGACTGACACAACCATTGACATTGCTAATATATTAGGATGGCCCATAAGTAATGGCGTTTTTTTTCTCACTCGAAATATCGCGCTGAAGATGAAAAGTTTTGCCTATTGAGTTTTATACCGTTTTGCAGAGAATTCCTTGCCCTATACGATAGCCTTCCTTAGTTTCCTTGAAATTACTCTTTCCATTAAAATTCAAGGTTCAAACTGGAGTGTCAGGTAGGCGTAACTGAGCATTTTCGAACCCTCCCTTTTCTACCCCTTATTAAAAAGCTCGAACCGCACATATAAGTTGCTAAGTATATGTCCAGGACGCTATGTCCCTTAGGTATGCTTACAGTAATTTGAGTGACTAGAAGATTTCAATTTCGACCTCACAGACAAGCATCGAACCTAATGCCCTATTGTGCCCAAGGAATCGTCCGAGGAATCGTTAGAGGTCATGGAATGTTTTCTTTTTCATTATCAACTACCTTCCTCAGTTGATGTTAGACGTTCGAAAGTTGGTGGATGGGTTTTGCAGGCAGCCGCGCCCCCAAGAGGGCGCCCCATGCGCTGAACATTTACAAGGTCCGAATTCCCACCTCTTAATCGCTTGAACCAACTTCAAGCTGTCGTAAGAAGCATCTTTCTTTGATCATACATATGACAAGTTTCGAGTTTCTTCTGTAGTTTGGGAGCCGAGATAAATTGCAAAAAGTTGTTGTCGAAAAGTCACTTTTCTGACGACCGGACACTTCCACTTCAAAGCAAATAAGTCGGACAGAAAACAAAAAAGTATGAAAAGGCTAACCATTAAGCCTTATAGAGCGGAAATTATCTATCAAACAATGTAGAACATATTGGGAAAAATTGTCATTTTTCATATAAAAACTTGCGTGAGAAAAAAAACGCCATTACATGGGCAACCTAATATTTTATTTGGTGGGAGGAGGGGGAGAGGGGACCATGCAGCCTTTCAGGATATCTTGGCAACTGCGATGCCTCGTTCTTTTTTCTCCGTTCCTTCTCTCTTCCCTCTTCAGAAGTACCTCTGGACCCTCGTGACGTGACAACTAAAACACTTGGTGGGACACCTGCTGCGAAAGCGCGATGCCGCTAAGAAAGAGAACTGCATCTGCCAAGGCATCGAGAGGTTCAAAAACCTGTCGCGAGCTAGGAGATGAATTTTTTTTCACAAGGACAGTACACTGGGGTGGATGGGATTTTTATTATGCGTGAAAAGTTGGACTGATAAGGTCAGGGTGGTCAAGAGAACGGCAAGGCAAAAGGTGCTGAGAAAAAACAAAAGTTGGCACCAATCAAAGAAACTGAGTCTAAGTTGTCGGAGAGCCTGAGAAGAATGTTTGGAATGCCCTGCAACTGACCTGCTCCTGCTCCTTCGCAGGCAAACCCAGTATCCCTGTGTTGGTGAGTTCAATTTGAGGTTTTCGACGGAAACTTTGTATCTTAAAGGCTAAGAAATTGGATTACTGTCACGTGGTGGTATTCCGACAAATGAAGCAGTTATCGCTGAAAAGAGACCAACAATTGTGGATTTGCACATGCCTAGGGGGGAAAGGGAAGTGGGTGAACCCATTCCTTTGCGCAAAACTATACGTTTAAATGCTTCCTCAACCCCCTCCCCCTTACTTTAACAGCGCCCTGTCAAATCAGACAGGCAGAAGATTAGAAGAAAAGGCACGCCTCCAGACAAAATTCTCAGCAGGTGTGTGCACTTCACTTTTTATTTGCGACTGATTGATTTCCCTGAAGTACCCAGGAAGTCTTTTACGAGCTGTTCCAAAGACTATCTAGGTTAGGGAAAGTAAAAGAACAGCCTGTCAAGCGTGTTCCCCCCCCCCCTTCCACCCAAATGCCCTAGCACCAACGACTAAATCCGAAATTGACTAAGACCACCATAGACCACTTCTATGTGAACGACGCGACACGTCTTCCGTGTTCCTAAGCAACCAGATTCCTGAGCTTTGGGAAATAAAGTCAACTTTGAAAGACGCTAAGCTCATTCAACTATACAGAAAGCTGAGATCTACTCACTTCTTTTTCGAACTGGGCTTAAAAGACAATGCGACACAAAAGAGCTCGATATTCTGGCGAGACCAGAGTTGTTAGTAAGTAATCAGATTCGAATAGAATTTGTAACGAAATGATCTAGTGACTTACAGCAATCACAACGACGACGAAGAAGATGCGCCCATGTACGTGAACGGACAACCATTAAAATTGATTGACCGCGTGTTCGCCTCGCAAAACATCGTGCAGCCTTTGCGGAAGGGGCGGAGCGACTCGCTGCACGACGGGAACCTCGTTCATGGCGAACGGGGCTGCATTCGGGCGCTTGGAGGGGGAAACCGTTGGACTTACCTCGCTCCAAGTGCGGTAGATGGACGGACAAGAATGATTACTTCCCTCGAATCCCCTCTCCACAAGTTGACGAACTCTGAACTCTCGGACGAAAGGGTGGGCCGTCAACAGGAAGGGGGTGGATGGGCCAGTGAGCATCAGCCAGGTCAAGAGGAGCGCTCAAGCTATATCAGCATTTCTATTCATTATCAGTCTGTTGGTCACTTCGTCCAGTGGATGCAGTTCGACGTGGCCTTTGTGACCAACAAGCACTCCCTCGGGTTTTCCTTTAAAAAACGTGACCAGAAGTATGGGCATTACAGCATTGTAATGCGCAGGGTCGATTCGTAGGGCCCTGTTCGAAGCCTGCGCCGATCTGGTGAATAAGAGGAACTTGTAAACATTCGCGGTGAATTCCAGCAGAAAAAAAATGTGTGTGGGAAAGGGCAACTAGTACACGTCATCCTCGAGGGATTTCCATGGGAAACTGTACATCATCGCCCTCATCATCATGTGGAGTCCTCATCGAGGGGTCGTATGGGGACTGCTGAGGCCTACATCCATAGACAGGGTACACCATCGTAATGTGTGAAATGGTGGTGTCAGTACGACCCCCTCGAGGAAGAGTATCGGTACGACCACTCCCCCCCCCCGCCTTCCCCAACAGCTACCTACGGCGCTACAGCCTACTACGTGCTGTTTATCGACGAGCGGGAGGGGGCATTTCTGTATTATATTGCATCTCTGGTTCCGGTTTATCGCACTTGGAACTTCGTGAACGCTTGTGAAGCTGCTGGAGGCAAGATCCGTCTGCCACCATCCTAAAATGTGTCACTCGAAAAGAAGATGGTTGGCAAATCTATAAAAAGCAGAATGCCCCCTCCCGTCGGTAAACAGCGCCACTACCACTTTCCTACAAGTTCCCAGCTTCCTACCAGTTTTTCACCGAAAAATTCCCCCGTCGAGCGGGTAGGGGAAGAATAGTAGCACATGCGAAACGGAGAAAGAGCCGCGAAAAGTCAACAACCGGGAAAATTTTTCCCCCTCCGTGACAAGTTTCCTTCAAGGGTACCTACGACCCCTCCCTCTCCCAACAACAGCCAAATACCTCCTCCTTCCAGCGCGGAGCAACATACTATTAGGTGGTCCGGAAAGTCTTCAGCGTTTTTGTGCACCTCTTATTTGTACATTTCACTAGCTGTATTAAAAAAACTCATTCTGGCCTTTGCTTGCTCGTAGCACATCCTGCTAGAGAATTTCTTGCGCTATCTGATGGTATAATTGCCGTTTCACCATTGCTTGATAAACCCCCTTTTTTCAAGATTTTTTCAAGCATGTGAAAAGAGCACTTCGGACGATTTTTTCTTCGACTATAAATTGGGGCAATCCGCAATCGAAACAGCTCAACAAATTAACCAGGTGTGGGGCCCAATAGCTGCTAGAGAAAGCACTGTCGGCCAATGGCTCAACAAATTTCGTTCTGGAGATTTCAGCCTTGAAGATGAACCTCATAGCGGTCGACCTAAAGCAATATCTGACGAGGATTTTAGGGGGATTTTGGAGGCTGACCCATCCCAAACAGTTCGAGAGATAGCAGAAGAGCTAGGCCTTGGCAAATCCACTGTTGCAGATGGTCTGGAACGCATTGGGAAGGTGAAAAAACTCGACAATTGGGTGCCCACAATCGGAGTGTGACCGGCCAGGAATCGGCACGTCTCGAGGTTCCTTCTGCATTGCTTTTGCGCAGCAGAAACGACCTGTTGGACCGAATTGTCACCTGTGATGAAATATGGATCATGTATGATAACAGCGAGATGCCAGGGTACACCCAATGCGCTTCCGGACAGTGGTTGGATTTTCACGCCACGAGGTAGATTTTCAAGCGACCCTCACGAAAAAAAGATTCTGGTCACGGCTTGGTGGTCATCGGCTGGTGTGATCCACTATAACTTTTTATCACCAGGCCAAACCATCACAGCAGAACCCTACTTGAAGAAATCGACGAATTGTACCGAAAATTTGTCAGATGCAGCCAACACTTATCAAAAGAAAGGGTCCGATTCTTTTGCATGACAACGCCCGCCCACACGTTTCACAAATCACTATCCATAAATTGAACGAATTGGGGGTTGAAGTTCTACCTCAACCGCCATATTCTCCAGACCTTTCACCAACCGACTATCACCTTTTCAAACATTTTCAGAACTTCCTTGCTGAAATACTTCATCAATTAGGACCAGGCAAAAAAGACCCTCGTAGATTTCGTGGATTCTCGACCACCCAGTTTTTTCTTTGATGGGATTTCTCGACTGCTGTCACATTGGCAAAAGTGTGCTGATTCGAATGGTGCCTATTTCGATTAAATCCGA